TGCCCCACACAGTTTCCAAAACAGAAAACTATTGAAGTTAACAACCCTTCCTACATCTAACAGAGCACACAGATAACATTTCCCACATCCCTCTTTGGATTCATTTTATAATTCTTTATTTTACAGATGATTATTTTTACACAATTAAGTATAGATGATTTTTATTTATTTTTTTCCACCAGGAGGGAAAATATGTGTAATATCTGTTGGTTTAATTTGAAAAACAGTTATAAGCTGTAAAATACGTAAATGTTCAGCCATTTTAGGCATCTGGCAGAAAATTCTGCTGTAGCGTATCTAAACTTACTGTCTGTGTTACAGTTGCAGCCGTCGTCACCAAGATGAATTGTGAACTGAACAATGTAGACCCACCTGTCTGTGTAACCGACAACATCATTGGTTCAGATGCCTCCTGCTTCGACTTGATCCTCCTGGGTGACATGTTCTACGATGAGGCCCTCGCCGACAGCCTTCACAGATGGCTGGACCGCTGTATCGAAGACAGCGGCACCAAAGTTCTGATCGGGGATCCTGGGAGAGCCCACTTTGAGGGACATGGCATCCGGAAGCTCCTGCATCATCTGGCCCAGTTTGAATTGCCTAAAAGTGTCAGGGAGCAGAACTATGGCCTCATATCCAGCCATGTTTGGTGTTATAATAGAAAACTATGATAATCTTCAACCTTCTGAATGCTTGATTTGATAAATTCTTCATCATCTGAATATGTCTCCTGGTCTAGAATTAGTAAGGGGCGAATCAGGAATCAAGACGTTTATAAGAAATTCTGTAGCAGAAAAAATATATTTAAACTGGGGAAACCTTATTCAAGCACTAAACATTACATGTCAGAAACACTATCTGTGGTTCATGTTGATACATGATTATTTTATACAAGGCAAATCAAGCCCTGCAGTTTTTTTCTTACTTTTCACAGGCATATAAACTTGCCAGAACTGGTTATTCATCTGCTGATTCATATACCGGTAATCAAATTAGACGTTTGATGTGATTATCTGATCTGCAGGTGTTCCTAAACTGGTTTTGATTCATGAACATTCAATGGAATTAACGCTTTAATGTGACTAACGGTGTCTTAAAACTGCAGTATTTACCAATTGAAGTGTTTTAAATTTTTCTTGTGGTTTGAATTTGATCACATTTTGAAATTCTATTTTTTTTTTT